AAAAAGAACAATTTTGTTCTAAAACATTTTTGTTTCAGGTCAATATGGGAATCATGTCAATCTAATTTATAAAACTAATTGTTTCAGGTTTTTGAAAAGTGCATAAAGAGAGAATTGGGGCAGAAAACGAGAGTTCTTGTTACAAACCAGCTCCACTTCCTATCGCAAGTGGATAGAATTGTACTTGTACATGAAGGCACAGTGAAAGAGGAAGGAACATATGAAGAGCTATCCAACAATGGCCCTTTGTTCCAACGATTAATGGAAAATGCAGGGAAGGTGGAAGAATATACAGAAGAGAACGGAGAAGCAGAGGCAGATCAAACGGCCATAACACCAGTTGCGAATGGGACCACAAATGGTCTTCAGATAAATGGAAGTGACGATAAGAAATCCAAGGAAGGAAATAAAAAAGGAGGAAAATCTGTCCTCATCAAGCAAGAAGAACGTGAAACCGGAGTTGTGAGTTGGAGAGTCCTCAAGAGGTAACTTTAATGCTCGGCCTTTGCGCTCTTACTATTTGTTTGCATTTTGCGGGATATCAAAATGACATGTGCGGTCTTAACTTGTTCTTAGGTACCAGGATGCACTTGGAGGGGCATGGGTAGTGATGATGCTCCTTTTATGCTACGTCTTGACAGAAGTATTTCGGGTTACCAGCAGCACTTGGTTGAGTGAGTGGACTGATGCAGGAACTCCAAAGAGTCATGGACCACTTTTCTACAATCTCATTTATGCACTTCTCTCATTTGGACAGGTATGAGTTACATTTGCTTGATGGATGAGTAAGTATATGATATACTATCGACCGAATAATGTTTACAACATAGCGTATACAGCTGAAATTAGACCAGCTGAAAAAGATCTTATATTCATTTTCTTTTGTGACTTTACTTTGAGAAAACAAAGGTGGAGGTAGTAAAGGTTAGTAAGTTCATGATATTTGTGTTTCTTGATTTCAGGTTTTGGTGACATTGACCAATTCATATTGGTTGATTATGTCTAGTCTATATGCAGCTAAGAGGCTACACGACAATATGCTCCATTCCATCCTAAGGGCCCCGATGTCCTTCTTCCATACCAATCCTTTAGGACGGATAATCAATCGATTCGCAAAAGATCTGGGAGATATTGATCGAACTGTGGCCGTCTTTGTAAACATGTTTATGGGTCAAGTCTCACAGCTTCTTTCAACTGTTGTCTTGATCGGCATTGTAAGCACTTTGTCATTGTGGGCCATCATGCCCCTCCTGGTCTTGTTTTATGGAGCTTATCTCTATTACCAGGTAATGTCCTTCTAACCGCAGCATTTAAATATTTAAGATCAGAGATGATTTATGTTACACATTTTGTTTAAGCCTCCGTCTGTCATACATCTTTCTTTTTTTATCTTTAGAAGTTTGTTGTTTGGTGCTTAAGCTATATACTCTCAACTGTTAGCAGAAACCCTGCTCATGGTGCTGTGTTTTAACCATTTTTCGTATTGCAGAACACAGCCCGTGAGGTTAAGCGTATGGATTCAATCACAAGATCGCCCGTTTATGCCCAATTTGGAGAAGCCTTGAATGGCTTATCAACTATCCGTGCTTACAAAGCATATGATCGGATGGCTGAAATCAACGGAAGATCAATGGATAATAACATCAGATTCACTCTTGTCAACATGAGTGCCAATCGATGGCTCGGGATCCGTTTAGAAACACTTGGAGGTCTTATGATTTGGCTCACAGCATCATTCGCTGTCATGCAGAACGGGAAAGCAGAGAACCAACAGGCATTTGCATCTACAATGGGTCTGCTACTCAGCTATGCCTTGAATATCACTAGCTTGTTAACAGGTGTTCTGAGACTCGCGAGTTTGGCTGAGAACAGTCTGAACGCAGTTGAGCGTGTTGGCAACTACATAGAGATACCATCAGAGGCTCCACCTGTCATCGAGAACAACCGTCCACCTCCTGGATGGCCATCATCTGGATCCATCAAATTTGAGGATGTTGTTCTTCGTTACCGCCCTCAGCTACCGCCTGTGCTTCATGGGGTTTCTTTCTTTATTCACCCAACGGATAAAGTGGGGATCGTTGGAAGGACTGGCGCTGGGAAGTCAAGCCTGTTGAATGCGTTATTCAGAATTGTGGAGCTGGAAAAAGGAAGGATCTTGGTCGATGAATGTGACATTGGCAAGTTTGGGCTGTTGGACCTACGTAAAGTGCTTGGCATCATTCCACAGTCACCGGTTCTTTTCTCAGGAACTGTGAGATTTAACCTTGACCCATTTGCTGAACACAATGATGCTGATCTTTGGGAATCTCTGGAGAGGGCACACTTGAAAGATACCATCCGCAGAAATCCTCTTGGTCTTGATGCTGAGGTACTCAGCTACCACTTGTATCTTGAGATTGAATTGTTACCTATAAAGTCTCTTCTTTAAAGTAGTATGAATCTTTGCTGTAACGTTCTTCTTCAGGTTTCCGAGGCAGGAGAGAATTTCAGTGTGGGACAGAGGCAGTTGTTGAGTCTTTCACGTGCGCTGTTGCGGAGATCTAAGATACTCGTCCTCGATGAAGCAACTGCTGCTGTTGATGTTAGAACTGATGCCCTCATTCAGAAGACTATCCGAGAAGAATTCAAGTCATGCACGATGCTCATCATCGCTCACCGTCTCAATACCATCATTGACTGTGACAAAATTCTCGTGCTTGATTCTGGAAGAGTATGTACTTAAATTTTCCAAACACTCTCTTTCGATCTCACACCCTGCTTGTTTTTCACCTAACCTGTTCTACTCCTATGTTTCAACTCAGGTTCAAGAATTCAGTACACCTGAGAACCTTCTTTCAAACGAACGAAGTTCTTTCTCCAAGATGGTTCAAAGCACCGGAGCTGCAAACGCTGAGTACTTGCGTAGTTTAGCACTAGACAACAAGCGTGACAGAGATGACTCGCAAGCCTTGCAAGGTCAAAGGAAATGGTTGGCTTCTTCTCGCTGGGCTGCAGCCGCTCAGTTTGCTCTTGGTGTGAGTCTTACTTCATCACATAACGATCTTCAAAGCCTTGAAATCGAAGATGATGGCAGCATTTTGAAGAGAACGAACGATGCGGTTGTGACTCTGCGCAATGTTCTCGAGGGGAAACACGACAAAGAGATTGCAGAGTCGCTTGAGGAACATAATATCTCTAGAGACGGTTGGTTATCATCACTCTATAGAATGGTAGAAGGTAAATAAATACCATCTCTGCAAATGCTTACCTGAAGATATGATTGTTTATGCAAGATCTTAAATCTTGAACGCATGCTTTCCTTTGTCTACATTTTTCAGGGCTTGCAGTGATGAGCAGACTGGCAAGGAACCGAATGCAACAGCCAGGTTACAATTTGGAAGGAAATTCGTTTGACTGGGACAATGTCGAAATGTAGATAACTTTCTTCTTCCTGAACAAAACATTTTCTTACCTTAACCAAAATTATCAGTAGTGGATGCCTTAAATTCCATTTTCAGAAACTTAAATTTTGTTCTGCAAAGAAAAATCAAACTTTGTTGTGTTCTTGATTAGTTACTCGAGTATCCTTCAACTCGTGAATGGGAATCTGGACAAAGTTGTAAACATGAGTTTCTCTACATCCGTTCATATACAGAAACATCGTCACTGTAGCACCAAGAAAGAAACAAACAGCAAGAAGCGAATGAGGCCTTTTCTTAGGGTTGAGATTCACCAGAATCTTGAGATATGTCGGAAACATCTGTAGCGGTTTGGCCATGAACGGATTCAAACCCATTGGCAAAGACATTAGCAAGAGCAGTCAGCACCTGAAAGACATTGGGAAGGCTTGATTTGAGGTTGTCCAGTGTCATTCTCTTACTAACCTCGACCGAGTTTAAGTACTTGGCTTTCTCAGTGTCCACTCGTTTCCTCAAGGCTTCGATCTTGGCTTGTTTGACTGACAACGGATGCTTAGAACCCAAACTCCCTGAGCTTGTTGCCTCCTCTTCCATTGCTGAAATCCCCTCTAGTCTTCTTTCGATCTCAGCCAGTGAAATTAGCTCTTTCTCCAGCCTCTTCTCAAGTTTATTACATTTCCTCCGCAGGATGTATTCATCAGCTTGTTGATTGATAACAGATTTGATTGCCATCAGAAAGCTTTTAATGGCCTCTGAAGTTACCTATATCACCCAACACAGTTGCATTTCCACATATTACAAAACAGTTTCATGGAGCCAAGAACCAGAAAAAAATACATATAAGTTTGCAAGTGAAAGAGGGACCTTATCAGGGAGTTTTTCAAACACAAGCTGCCATTCTTTGCAGAGCTTACGAGCAGCAACGGGCAAGCTGCTTCTTTGGTTGTCTTCCTTAGAGAGACGATCAGTAAGTTGGATCCATGTACAGAGCGTTTTCACGTATTCTCGCTGAGAGTTTACTAACTTGCAAAAGCTATTGTACCAGCAAGTAACCTCAGTCTCTAGTTGATTAACCGCCTGGCGTTTGTATTCCGAACTGAGATCTATACTCGGGTAATCTGGAAGATGGTTCAGTTGCTCGGATATATGAATCTGGACTTGATGGCACTTGAGCATTGTTTTCCACATATGCGCTTGCCTGCGCGTATTAAGACCAAATGAATCTCTGAAGCGATCTATGCAAACTTGCATAAAAAAAGAATGCTTTTCAATGAGATGGCCACCAAAAGAATGGTTATGGAGTTTACCCGGAAGTTAGAGCAACTAGCTGCGGATACAGCTCATCGTTGATCAAGCTAAGCACACATGAGCATGTCGTAGTTATGGAATCTTCTAGACGCTGTATCTCGGTCTCCAGACTCTCCAAAGACAAGCGTGTCTTCTCCATTTTGCTCAGATCATAGGCTTCTCCATCCTGCTTTAGCAGTAATCCAGACTTCCTCTCATGCTCTACTTTGGCAATCTCTTTGTTCTGATCAGAGATAAAAAAAACTTGGCATTTTATTGTTCAATCTGAAAATTTAACACCGAGAAAGAGTTGGATTAGCTAGTTCTTACTCTGACTAGCTGGTAAAGTTTCTTCTCAGCTGTATATATCTTCTCAAGTGTGCTGCAGTGAGCTCCAGGCCTACAGGGCTCAACAGCACCGCTTGTTGTAGCATCTTTGCCAAGAGACTTTGAGGACCAGCTCCATGACAATGCACTGAATACCTTCGCTGAGCTGCTTCTCTTCCCTGCGTTTGCCACATAAGTATTACAACATGTACACAGATCAGGCATCTGTGGTTGGTCCAACATTCAAAAGATTGAAAATTTAGATAACAGTTGAGAAGCATCAAGAGAATTTTAGTTACTTACTTCTTGTTTCCTGATACCTGAAAGGATCAATAGTATCCCTAGTGTTGATGTCTACTATCACAGCTATTTCCTTCTCGCAACCTGATGCTTTTAGAAAATAATCATCCAACTCTCTGATGATCCCTTCTAAGGTCTTCCTGATCATACAATCAGTCACACCAGCATTCTCCGGATCTTTACCGTACCAGCTTGCCATCGATGAGTTATCGTCCATAACTTCTCCCAGCTTAAACTTCAGACGCCGTGGCTTCTTCATGTCAGAGCCACCAACAGCTTGTGCTTCCCGAACACTCAAATCAAGGCAACTACCTCCTGCTTCTTGTTGCTCGTCTTCATCCTCAAACTCAGACTTGGTCTCCGCCCAGTTTTCCTCTTCACCTTGCTGAATCTTTTGTTTCCTCTTCAGGTCAACTTGTGTAACTACGTTATCACCATTTGGATGACTATGCAGCTCCAGTGACTCGAAAGGGTTCCAAAGATTCCAAGAATTCGGCAATGGAGGCGGAGGAGTTGCACCACTTACATCGTCGTTACCATCAATCTCTGCAGCACCCTCTTCTTCCTCCTCATCAACCAACTCATTCTTGTGACCAGTCTCGGGCTTTCTCAAATCCGGGCTAAACGGAGGAGGTGGTGGAGGTGAAGGAGGCAATGTAGGAGGCGGCGAAGGAGGCAGAGGCAGACTTAACCCATAACTAGTGTTTTCAAGCTCCAAGGTCTCAGACTCTGTGAATTGCCTAAGAGTGACTCCAGTGTTCCTCAAAGCTCTAAGATAAGCCAACTGTGCATCTGCAAATTCTCCCCTGAACCCTAATAGCTTCTTCATCAGTCTCTTTCTCTGCCTACACACTAAAACCTTTTCTTCATTGTCAATGCTTGAAGCAGCACAACCCATTTCTTCCGACAATCAACTTTTTAGACTCGATTAGTTAGAATCTGAAATCGAGAATGGGCTAAATTAGCTCTTTTGCGTGGCAATGTACACAAGATTTAACCAAAAGGACTAAGCTTTTGAACCTAGAGATTCATCAGTGACTAAAAAAAAAAGAGAGATTTTTTTTTTTCTTGGGAAAAAAGCTTGGAGAAATTAAAACCCAAAGTGCTCTCTTTTATTACTCTTTTGATTTGTGGCTCGTCACTTGCAGAAAAGTGTTCAAGGGCATGAGATTACAGCTAATTAATCTCCAAATGTGCTTTCGAGAACATACCAACGAAGCTCGCGAATGATTTATCTCCAAAAAGGAATCGCCTTTCTTTCATTACACTTTACCTTTCGACGGCACTTCTCTGGAGTTCGAGGAAGAAGGCATAAGACGACACTTTGATCTGCGGAAACAGCAATTTCGACAAAGGTCAAAGCTTGGTCCAAAGCTCGGAAACAGCAACAAAAACTATGCAATTAGAAACAAAAAAATTGAAGAGAGAGAGAGAATTAATTGGGCTCAGAAAGAAAACTGCATGAATAATTAAATACTAGTTTTTTTAGTGAGTACTGACATAGAGAACCTGGTACAAGAAAAAAAAGAGACATTGTTTAATTTCGTTTTTTATAAAGTTTTAGAAAAAATATTCAACGAAATTTTATTTTGTTTATGATTTTATGAATTAAGCTTTGTGCCGAAAGAAAGAAAACGATAAATTATTACTGGATATTATTGATTGAGGTTACTAAAATTTATAAGAGAGAAAACGACGACGGACCTACTGGCTACTAGCTAGTAAATCATTTTTACCTTTTTTATTTTCCATTTTATGTTAAATAGATATATAAATAGAAGAAAAGAAAAGATAATAATTATTTATCCGACCAAAATCATAAAAAAGAAAAGAAAGAATATCCTTTAAAGCGACCAAACATGATCAAAGGCAAAGATTAAGTTGGCGAGCATAAACAGCAACTTAACTTAGACGAGAAGGAACTGTTTAGAGCGTAATATTACCTTTTTCGGTTTGTTTAACTATTGTTTCTATTTGTGCTCCCATCTTCTTTTTTTTTTTTTTTGAAGTCAATTCGCATAGTATTAGTTTTAGCTTCGTTCGTCTAACGTCCAATTTGTAATTCCCGAATGAGACATGCAAAATTTATTGATACAAAGTTACATCATAGGATGTGGAACACTGATTAAGAATATTCTTTTCATATCTTATGGCATTTGTATTATCTATTCTGATTGTTTTATAAATTGTTTTTTCTAGATTATTCTTATAATTCTCAGAAATACGTAGAAAACGTTTTTAGGTTTATAGTTTTATGTTTATAATCAGTCATAGACACTGTATGATACACAAAGTGTTGGAGTGCAAGAGAAAACATGATTGTCATTGTAATTATTATTTAACCACCGAAGGTATTTATTAACTAGTACGATAAGATAACTTCAAGAATATTTAGGGTCTCCAAATTTAAAGGTATGAGGCAAATGTTTTCTTGTTTTGTTAAAAAGGTTGAGACGCCTCTTTGAATGTGTATATATATTTAAGAACAAACAAGGGAACAGAGAAAAAGAAAGAAGAATGAACTTTTGTTATACTAAAAGGCTTGGAGTTGTAACTATTTTACAAATAAAAGTTGAGAAAAAGTAAGAGGAAAAGGGACAAAGGTGACAAGATTACACGAGGCAGGGTAGATACGAGCAGTGACGCGCATGTTAGCCATTGCATTTATCCACTTTAATTTTTCAACAAATATAAATAAATATATAAGACCAAAAGTATTTTGATATATCTAAAATCCTTAGTTTTAGTCTGTTTGGTTGTTCTTATTTGGTCATAAACCTTATGTGAATCGATTAAACAACAAGGGTAAGCTTATGACTAGACATCCAAAACCGTATTATTTTTTGTTGGATGATATTCAAAAGCATTATTACTTGGTGACTAAGTTGGTGGTTTTAATTTGTTTGTGGTTTATTCATGATAAAGTTTAAGTGTATCTTAATCATCAAGTATTGTGTGTTAACAAAATTACTAATAAGAAAATGACTCACTAAAATACGATTGGCTTTGCTACTTAGAAGGAGATTGTTTCAATTTATAGATTTGATATAATGCTGTACATATGAAAAACTCATGGTGTTACTGTACGCATTGACTTCAAAAACCTGATTAAAAGTTAAATTTAGAACCCATTTGGTACAACACACAGCTTTTGGTCTCTCGCCCAAACCACTCAAACCTATTGGTATGATGAAACCACGAAAGAAAGTAAGAAACAGAGACAATTCCATCACCAAAGCGTACGAGTATTCTTGTTTGAATGGCAAACAGAAAAAAAAACGGAGAAACTTGTAATATACGCAATCACTTTTTAGATGTCTTGTCATGTATCGATCTTAAGTAGAGAATTGAGTGAAGTGCTGTTAAACCGCTGAGCAAAGCCGCGGATGACAAGCACTATAACATCACGGAGATGGCGCGAATGCACCACCATGTCTACTTCATTCTCACTATCCACAACAATCCTCAGCCTTCTCTGGTCATTACGAAATGTCACTACCTGGTTTGATGCAAAATATGATAAACTTATATAAGATCCTTTGAAGATTTAAGACTCCAGTGATTGTGGTAAAAGGAAACACTCACATGGAAAGGAGGACTATAGCTTCCACGAACTTCAGTAGTTGAGAAAGATGTCTTCGAACCTGGTTTCACAACCTTTATTCTCTTCCTGTTCATTTCTAGCATTCGTCTCTCAAGATTTCCCTCTCCCACAATCTACAATCATTAGCACTTTCACCCTTCAGAACAAAATCCCAATTCGATGAACAACAAATCAATTTCAACAACCAGAATTTTTTTGAAGTACATACCTTTTTTGGATAAGGGTCCTTGTCACACAGCACCTGATTCCATCAGATCAAAAGAAGAAAACTGAATATGAAGGATTGCTCTTATAGGAAAACTAGTGAAGCTAAGTAAACCAAACACACAGTCAATCTTACCTCAAACTTCACTAACCCAGTTTCTAGTTTCTGCTTCACTTCTTTGTAAAGATCAGGTTCTGCAAATTAAACATCAGCATGGATCCCATTGGAATAAAAGAAAAGAAAAGTAGTAGTCGTGGAAGAGGCAACAGAGATCCCTCTTAAAGGAAGCTGTAGCAATTTGAGGCCATATTTGACCGACTTGATAACGATAGGTATTAGTTTGTTAGTACATACACTGATACACATAGCAACAAAGAACGACGCAAATATTCATGACAATGATGATGATGATGATAACTGGAAATCTTACCAACAGCGACAGGTTCTGTTGATGCAGAAACTGGGTGACCTTCTACACCATCTTCACGTATGGGTGAATATACAACGACCAGTCTGTATCCGACATCATCCACATTAGCTTCATACATCCTTCCTGTCTCACCTACAAAATTAAACCGAAATGAATTAGTCCAATAATTGTTGAAACTTTTCCAGGCATTTGACTCTTACATGAAAGGCTAAGCTTTACTATTTGACATTGAAGGAAATAACAATGTGACTCAAGTTTTTGTGTACCTGGAATTGAGATGAGATCTGGGCTTCCAACCATTGATCTAAGCCACTGGATTTTACTCTTACCCTCTTTTCCGCCAAAGTAATTGCCTCGAACAGCGTATAAGTTGGTGTGGAAACCTCCTCCTTCAATCTCCAGCTTCTCTATCCTAGGGAAACCTGATGTAGATACAAAGTTGGTCACACCTTCACTTTCATTCGAGATATTGGTAAACAAGATGCAATGGCCGCTGAAATGCATAGAAACCTGGTGATATTGGACTAGTCTCGGCATATGCTGGTTCACTAGACCTTCCAAACACATCATGTACCACACATTCACATTTGAGACATCTGCCAATATCTTCAAACCGCACCTTGTATGAACACGAAATTTCAGAAGAGAGAGCTTCATACGATATCTCATCCCCTGAATCCAGTGAGCGGAACCTGTCACAGCCCTTGTTATGTGAGATCAATACGTAAACAGTTTTTGTGGCGTCATATATAATAAGCTAAAAGCAAGTTGCCAAAAAGAAAGCAGATTGGCCAAGGATATCAGATACTAAGTTCAACACCTGAAAACAGGTTTCCTTATGATTGGATATAGATGCATCAACGGTATTTAGCCAGGGATAAAAGCTCAGGGTGAGATGCAATATACCATTGGTATTCAATTGCTTCTTTGTACTTGCTCCAAACAAGTTGTTGGATTTCAGTCTTTGGGATCACTTGGACGGCTGTGAGAACATCACCCTGTACAGCCTTTCCGGTGAAAGCAAGCATGTCTACTCTTGGAACCTCTGTGTTGTGATCGAAAGTGTTAGACTTGTGTTGCAAAGAGAACCCACAAAGAAACCCAAAAGCAAAGGAAACAAAAAAGGATAACATAACACCATAATAAAAATCAATGACATCAAATTTTGCTAGTGATCAAGAATGAAAACCTGGGAGAATAATATCAGTTGGCTCAGACATCTTTAGCTCTCCCACAGCAGAATCTGAACGAACAGGCGTGTACCTGCAAAATAAGTTGAATAAGTTCTAAGATTCAAGTTTCTTACAAAAGTCAAAATCCATCTTGGAGCTAGGGATCACTATCAGTATTTCGAAAACAAGAAACATCACTATATATGAGTTAATACAACCATTGCCAGTTATTCTAAAAACTTAAAGCTCAGACCGACAATGCCTAAAAGTTTCATTCATTAATGAGAGAAAAAAGAACATTCAGAGGAGTAAAACAAAAAACTTGTCGAAGCTGCAAGGAGAAATGGCTTACCCGAACAATATCCGGCAATTGTAATCTGACTCAGTCACCTCATAGGTTTTGGAGTTAGCCCCAGCAATAAGATCAATGGTTCCATCATTATCTCTGTACCAACTGAAGATACTTGCACCTTCATGGCCACCAAAG